GGCCAAGCCGACGCTTTCCTGGGCGCATCCCAGCGGGGCCTCATCTTTGCGGTGGAGTGCGCTGCCCGCCTTGATGGCCAGAGCTGGCAGGTCGGGGCGGTGGCCCAAAGACTGCAGAACCCAGGCCTGCGCGAAAAGAGCGTGTACGCACACGGATGAGGAGAGCAAGAGTTTCGCACCGATGATCGATGCAACGTATCCCCCCCCCCCGTGCCCTTCCTCCTACTCTGAAGGGGCCCTGGGACACACAAATAAATACACACAAATAAAAAGATTCCCCATATTTTCCCATATTTTCAGGGTTTTTGTCTTCCCCCCCACTTCCCATATTTCCCCATATTTTCTGGGAAATCGACGATTCATTGTGTCTGTGTGTTTTTTCCCCTCCTGATACTCCTGGGGCCACAGCGACGCTCATGTTTGCCAATGGGCACCGCAGCGGTCGGCGCCGTGTGTGAGGCGACCGGGTCGGCGACCAGGCGCACACGCGCGCCCGTGGCGCACCATCCCTGAGAACCTCGCGAGAGACCAACGGGATCTCCTTCCTCCTCCTCCTCGTCCTCCGCCTCCTCCTCCTCCTCCTCCGACACCCTTCTCATCCCACTCCTCCTCCTCCTCCTCCTCCTCCTCCTGCTGCTGCTGTTGCTCCTCCTCCTCCTCCTCCTCCCTCGTCCTCGTCCTCCTCCTCCTCCTTCTCACCTCCCTCTTTCTCTTTTTCCTTTCTCACAGCCTCCTGTTCCTTCCTTTGTCGTCTCCTCCTCCTCCTCCTACTCCTGCTCCCCCTCCGTCCTTTCATCTTCCTCCTCCTCTTTCTCCTCCTGTGCCCCCACTTTCTCTTGAGACGAATCCTTCCCTGTCGCATCCCCAGACGTGTCGGCAGGGCGGGCCGGGCTTGTCGTCTGAGGGGGTTTCCAAGCATGCGTGGCCCCGAAAATTGCAAGTGCAGTTTCAAGGGTGACGGACAGGACTGGTCGTTTGAATGCGTGGTTCTCGTCTTTGCACCGCGCACATTCGTCCTAAACGATTGCCACAGCTTCGAGAAGAGAGGGCGGGTCGTTTTCAACATGCGTCCCTTGCGCTCGCGCAGCGCATCCACTATAAAAGCTGCAACGTATTCAAGCCTAGAAGGTGGCTCCTTTTCAACATGCGGTTGTCGTTCTAGCGTCGCGCACATTCGTCTTAAAATGTTTGTGCTGTATTCATATGCTCGTGCACTTTAAACCCCAGGCGTGGTGCCAAGACGCAACATTCACCTGGATTCGCGGTGATGAAGTCGCAGGCGTGGTTGCCTGGCACGACTTAGCACTACCAAAACGTAACTTCAATATTGGTTCGCGGGGTTTGAATCCCACGAGCGGTGTGATGGCACGATTGCAGACTCTCAAGCGGTTGTCTTCCAACGAGCCACTTCCCGCAACTTAAACAAGTTATCGTACGATTGTACATTTGGAAAAAAAGACTTGGAACGATGGGTTTATTGCAACATCGTTGATGCGTCTTGAGTTTGCGTTGGTCCACCTCCCCCTCCTCCATTTCCTCCCCCCCTCCTCCTCCAGGCGGGGCCGCGCGCTCCGCGGGCTGGGTGGCCACGGCAACCACCTCTGGGGTCGCCTTGGCGGGTTGAGGACAGGGTAGGATGCGCGGCCGTGGCGAGGAAGGAGGGGGAAGGGAAGGGATAATGGGGGGGATGAGAAGGAACGGGGGGCAGAAGGGAGGAGGAGGAGGAGGAGGAGGAGGAGGAGGAGGAGGAGGAGGAGCAATAATTGCGAGTGGCGGTGGCGAAAGGTAAGAGACATGGGTGGCATGAGAGATAGCAGAGCGGCGGTCCTTTTCCTTTGAACGCTATGCAAACTGGCGGGCCCGCAGTGGGCCAGACAGCGGCGGACCCCTCCTCCTGTTCGATTCGGGGCTACCGGGCAATGGAGAATGTCCCTCCGCAGCACATCGGCTACCGGGCAATGGAGAATGTCCCTCCGCAGCACATCGGCTACCCAGGACCACCCGTACCAGCAGTCACCGCGAGGCGTCAGCCCGTACCGTGAGCCCTGGGAACCCTGCCGGCTCGCTTGTGGTCAGCCTGTGCGAGAGATGAGCTGAGCTGACAAAGGTTGTGGATCATAGCGACTCCCCACCGCCGGCAACCCACGGACAGGCTGTATTCTCAGTGCGACCAGCCGATGTTGCTTCAGAGTCGGGAGCGTTTGCTCGTGTCGGCACAGAGCGCGCCCGGCGTGCGCTCGAGCAGCAGCGCTGATCGCGCCTTCAGGCCAAATTCGCTACCTGGCTCTGCTTCCGGCGCGCTGCTGGCATGGCCGCTCGCCTTCGGCACGCTTTTGTGAATAGGTGCTGGCGGGCGTGGCTGGCCGTTGCGTTGCTTGCGCGGTTGTGTAGCTGAGGGGCACCCGCGCCCTGTTTCGTGTGCGCGCCGATGCAGCTTGTCCAGCTGTTTGTGGCAGTGTGCCTCTCATGGCTGGCACTCACCAGTCGCAGCTGTTGCCTGGTCCGCGCCTTGGTCAGGTGACTGATGAACGGCACCGGCGCGGCGCGTGGTCTGGAGGCGGCCAACAGCAGCACAGTCCCGCAGGTGCCTGCGTCGGCTGTTTGTAGCTGCCCCGTTGTCGGCAGCACAGCGCGGCCAATGTGCCAGGCCACCGCGATGCATGCCAGATGGTCTGTAAGGAAACGTGGCCGTTGATGCAGCACTGACCTTTGTGGCGGCGTGCAGTCGTGCTGACACCTCGTAGTGCAGGCGGTGCTGAGGTGCCAAGCGGGGCATGCGCGCATCGCGCCAGTCGAGTAGCTGGCGCGCTGTGTCTGCCTGGGCTTCGCGATGAACGCGTTCACGTTGTTGCTCACGTGGTGCCAATCTTCTGCGAGACAAGAAAACCCCGTGCAAATGGCGCAGAGGGGCTGGCGGGCCACTGATGGCAAGAAACGGCTTCTCGATGGTGCTCGTGTCGAACGAGATCTGCAACGGGCGCGTGGTCGGGTCATCCTCGCGGCGCTCGTCGCAGCTCAATCGCCAAGTGCCTTGCTGCCTGTACATCGGACTCAACGTGCTCAAGCCCATCTGCAGAGTCTGCATGTGGTTTCTGTGAAAAACGCACGTGCACTCCTGCTGCACAGCGCGTTTAGGAAGACAAGAATGGTGCCATGCCAAATGGAGGCACAAGCAGCCGGGCGATTGGAGCTGTACCATAGGGGGCGAATCAAACCAACCGAATCAAGACTGGGGCGAATCGAGCCGGGCGATTCGAGCTGCACCATATGGGGCGAATCGAACCAGCCGATTCAAGCCGGTCGAATCGAGACTCGGGCGAATCGAGCCGGCCGAATCAAGCCTGTCGAATCGAGACTCTGTCGAATCGAGCCTGGGAGAATCGAGCTGAGCGAATCGAGTCGCGCAAATCGAGCCTGGGCGAATCGAGCCGGGCGAATCGAGCCGGGCGAATCGAGTCGGGCGAATCGAGACCTGGGGCGAATCGAGCCTGCGCCGAACCCACTGCCCTGGAGTCTGGACAGGCCGCGCGGCACAGGAGGGGCGGAGGGGAAGGGGGAGGCGACGATAGGGGCGAATAGCCCAGGCGCGGGCACTGCACGTATTCGCCTGGGAGCCTCTTCGAAGACGTAGATCATCGGCGCACCTGGATACATGTATTGCTTCCCCCTCGGCTATTCGCCCCTGTCGTCGCCTCTGAGGGAAGGGGCGGAGGGGCAGTGCAGCCGGCGCCAGGGGGAGGGGAAGGGGCGGAGGGGCGGCAGGGCGGAGGGGAAGGCGGAGGGGAAGGGGGAGGGGGCAGAGGGCGGAGGGGGAGGGGGAGGGGGCAGAGGGCGGAGGGGGAGGGGGCAGAGGGCAGAGGGCGGAGGGGGAGGGGGCAGTGCCGCCGGCGTCGGCTCTTGCGCCCCCGGGCTCCGCGCGGCAGACCGGTCGAGGCGCCGTCCGCCTGCCTCGCCCCTCCTCCCGCCTCGCCTCCTGCCTCTCCTTCTCCTGCCTCCACCGCCGCGGCTCCTCTCTCTCCTTCGTCCTGCCTCTCCTCCTCCCTGCCTCCACCTGCTCCTCTTCCTGGTGGTGGTGCTCGTTCTCCCCTCCTCGTCCTCCTGCTGCTGCTCGTTCCCCACACGCTGCTCTGTTTTGCTACTTCTGCAACCCTCTGGCTGCACCGCCCTCGACTCCCACGTCTTTGTGAGCGTCGCCCTTCGGCTTCCTTCTCCGCCCCGTGCGCCCAGGAGATAGGCTACATCGTTGGGGCCGCAGTGAGCGAATGGTGGCCGTCGATAAACTGGCCTGGACGGCGCACCTCGCCTTGAGATCCCTGCGTCACATTTGCAAAACTTGTGCAGACTTTGAATCGCACGACGTGGTGCTTCTAACACCGCGTGAGCTGTTGAAACTCCTTGGAGACGCCACACATATCTGCCAGCCATCCTGTAATTACTGCCTGCATGCATCTGGACAACTGTGCGTTGCACTCGCGCTTGCGCTTCCGTAGATATCTATCCTGCGCGGCCACACATGCCGCCTCGCAGATTTGTACCTGCAACAGGACTGAGCACACGCATTGGTCGGAACTGTGATCACACAGCTGCTGGTCGCACCAAGGATTAAGCCTGACCGCTGGATAGGTGTGGTCCACAAGCGATCACGATTCGAGCAACTTCGAGCAACTTCGCTTTCCTATGACGCAACATGATCCGCGCGCGTCCCTATGCACCTCATGACCTCGGACAAACCCACCGACCCCTTTTGGGGCCCGAGGCGCTTGAGACTCCTGCGCATTACGCTCCCATGGAACCCACCCAAGAATCTTCGGGCAACAACACTGGGGTTCGGGCCGCTCCGGGAATACCAGACTGTCCCAGGACTGCCCCGAAGGGCCTCAAGACCGCAGCAAGATGGACCGAAAGGGTGTCCGACAGCTTCAAGAGGGTCCCGAGAAGCCGCTTGAAGAGCTGCCCAAGACAGGCGATCTCAGGGGGGCGGGGGGGGGGGGTAACTCGATCACATCATATTTTGACATCTCATTCATGTGCTCGAGCCTCTCGACACCTGAAGCAAGTGCGCCTTCCAGGCGGTCCCGAGATCGCCTCGAGAAGGCCAGATCATATTTTGATATCTCATTTATGTGTTCGAGACTCTCGACACCCGAAGCACGTGCGCCTTCCAGGCGGTCCCGAGATCGCCTCGAGAAGGCCAGATCATATTTTGATATCTCATCTATGTGTTCGAGAGTCTCGACACCCGAAGCACGTGCGCCTTCAAGGCGGTCCCGAGATCGCCCCGAGAAGGCCAGTCAAAAGGGGCTCAGGAACGCCCCGGGGGCGGCCCGCAACCCACAAAAGGGGCCCCATGGGAGAGCGAAAAAATCGGGGCGCGGGGCCTCGCCCGCGCGAGCACATTTTCAAAACTCGCAGGCGTGCTGGGGCTGCTCGTGCAAGCGATGGTCGCGGCGTTCCTTTGACGTGTGCTCACCTGAAGGGGCCCTGGGACACACAAATAAATACACACAAATAAAAAGATTCCCCAGATTTTCCCATATTTTCTGGGTTTCTGTCTTCCCCCCCACTTCCCATATGTTCCCATATTTTTTGGGGAATCGACGATTAATTGTGTCTGTGTTTTTTTTTTCCCCCTCCTGATCATCCTCCGCCTCATGGGAGGAAGAAAGAACTGCATCAACATAAACTTTCGACGGTCCGCGCGGACCTCTTGGATCTGCGCTGGATCCCCTCCCCGGCGCACGGAGCGCGCCAGGGGGCGACGGCGGGGGCGCCGCCAGGGGGGTCCAAGGCAGATCCAAGAAATCCGCGCGGACCTCAGAAAACGTATGTTGATGCGAATTTTCCGTCGTCCCCTCACGGCGGGGGCCCATGGGGCGCAGCCGAGTGGTGTCTGCGAGGCTGGGGTGGAGGCCGAGCCAAGAGGAGTGGCAAGGAGGAACAAGATCACGCTGGAGAGTCCCCGATCAGTGCTCATGGGAGACACGCAAGGACACATCGGATGTAGCATACTGGTGTGGGGGGTCTGAACAATAGACTCCTCTGTGGTAACCCTGTGCCCTGTATTACCTACTCTGTGCTCTCATTCTGTCATAACTGATCTCTGCCATGAATGTTCTGCTCCCCCTAGTAAAATCTCCTCTCGGCTCTCTGCCATTTGCTCTCCGCTCTATCCGCCAGCGCTGTCACGACAGCGGAGTTTTATCCGCTGTCCCCTTCTGGGGGCCAACAGGGTGTGCGGCCTGGGCTGTCCTGCTTCCTGCGCCAACTCCACTTGGGGAACCCGAGCACCATCCAGTTCCCACCCTGGAATAACGTGATCTGAATTCCTGGATGGGCCCTGAGGCAAGTGAACTACAACAAACTCCTGCTCCCGAGACCACAGTCCTGTCTGCATTACGACGCTTTCGCGCTCCAGGGGCCGCAACTGCTTGCAAGTGGTGCAGCATTCGCTTTCCACGGACCACAACCCCTTCGAACTCTCGCCATCCCTTTCGCAACCTACGTCAGGTCTGCATCCCCGAAGCCATACCCCCTTGTAAATCACTGCGCGCTGGCGCTCCCGAGGTCGCAACCCTCTGTGAATTACACCAGGTTCGCGCTCCCGAAGCCACACCCTCTAGTAGAGTAGACAAGTTTGCGCTCCGAAATCGTGGTCCTTGACACAATACTACGACTTGGCGCTGCCGAGGGGGAGCTCCTCCTACAGGAGGAGGCAGCCGAAGGAGGAGGAGGCAGGTAGAGGAGACAGGAAGTGGTGGAAACAGAAGGAGGAGCAGGCAGGTGGTGGAGACAGGAAAAGCGGGGGAGGAAGATACGAGAGGGTCGCGGGGACAACGGAGCAGAAGGAGGGAGACGAGGGGGAACAGGACGAGGGGGGGAGGAGAGGGGTGAGGCGAACGACGAGGATCATGAGCACGACAACGACCAGGAGGTCGAGGACCTTCAGCGGCGACGTGCTTATGCCGGTTGAGGCTGCGTTTGCGTCGAGGGACATCGTTGCGTTGTGTCTGCGCCAGGAGGGGGAGACGAGAGGAGGGCCTCCATCATCACGAGGACGACGTTGCTAATTCCCGTAAACAATTTAGTGAGACTCTCATGCGGGCGGGGTTCCCGTCAGAATAACTTGTATTTCCTGGTTCTGCTCCCCGAAGGATGTGAGAAAGAGGGGGGATGGAGGAGGCGGGCAGCGAGGGAGCAGAGGGGGAGAGAGAGGGAGGGGGCGAGAGCAGACCCAGGCATCCGCCGACATGTCTTCTATTCCGACGCGCGACTTCAAGGGTCTGGCACCCTTCCCGGGGGGGCATTTTTGTTCGCCCCGCGGATCGGGGCCCGAAACTCAACGGGCCCAAGAGCCCCACGTCGAGGAAACACGCCCAGACTGCAACAGTCGTACCGTCGGAGGCCAGGGAAGAGAGCAGGGGGAGGCAGGGAGGGAGAGGGCGAGGGAGCGGGAGAGGGGGAGGAGGAGGAGGAGGAGGAGGAGGAGGAGGAGGAGGAGGAGGAGGAGAGGAGGAGCAGGAGGAGAAGGGGGGGACGGGGGAGGAGGAGGAGGAGGGGAGGAGGAGGAGGAGGAAGAAGAGGGGGAGGGGGAGGAGGAGAGAGGAGGAAGAGAGAAGTTGACGGTGATGACGGTGAATATGATGACAGTGAAGGTGACGGTGTTGATGATGATGATACTGCTGCTGACGATGATGCTGATGCTGATGCTGCTGCTAATAATATGCTGATGCTGCTGATGATTATGACGATGACGACAAGCATGAACATGAGGATGACGATCAATAGGAATATGAAGATGAATATGAACATGCTGCTGATTATGATGATGCTGATGATGATGAGGATGATGATGCTGGTGGTGGTGATGATGCTGCGGATGCTGATTATGATGATGAGCATGATGAATATGATGATGCTGATGATGATGATGATGCTGCTGCTGATGATGATGATGAGGAGGAAGAGGAGGAAACGGGTGGAGGAGGGCGGCGGAGGAGGAGGAGGAGCAGGAGGAGGGGGAGGAGGAGCAGGAGGAGGAGGAGGAGGGGGAGGGGGAGGAGGAGAAGGAGGAGGAGGAGGAGGAGGAGGAGGAGGAGGAGGGAGGAGGAGGAGGAGGGAGAAGGGCGACGGAGGAGGGCAGTGGAGGAGGGCGGCGCAGGAGGAGGAGGAGGAGCAGGAGGGAGGAGGAGGGAGTAGAGAGGAGGAGAAGGGGAGAAGGGAGGAGAAGGGGAGGAGGAGAGAGGAGGAGAAGGGGAGGAGGAGAGAGGAGCAGGGAGGAGGAGGAGGAGGAGGAGGAGGAGGAGGAGGAGGAGAAGGAGGAGGAGGAGAAGGAGGAGGAGGAGGAGGACGACGAGGACGAGGAGGAGGGAGGAGGCAAGGAGCTGCCGCGACAAGGAGGGGGGAGCCCAACGGCCGCTCGAGGGACGCCAGGGCCGCGCGCACGCCTCGAAGGGGCCCCCGTGGGCGAGCCGGTGCGAGAGGAGCGCGTGGAGCGGCACGGAGACCGCCGAGCTTGCGTGGGTGGTGCAGGAGAACGGCAAGAAGCTTCCTCTGGGCGGGCGCTCGGCAACCGGTCCCACCATCCCTGCTCCTGCTCCCATGGCCCTGCTCCCTGCTCCTCGGGGCAGTGGAGCGCAGCTGGCGTGGGTGGTGCAGGAGAGGGGCAGGAAGCTGCCTCCCGGAGGGCGCTCGGCAACCGGTCCCACCATCCCAGCAGGCGGGGAGCACGGAGCAACTGGCTCAGTGCAGATGGACCGCGAGGCCCAAAGGAGGGTAGCAACGGTGGTGCAGGAGAAGGGCAGCTGGTTGCCTCTGGGTGGCGTCAATAACTTGGCGGAGCGCCGGGGGGGGAGGAGGAGGGAGGGGGGCAGGCCTTCCCAGAAGGCCGCGGCGCCTCTCAGAGGCCCTCTGGCCGTCCAAGAGGCCGTCCGTGTCCCTGGAGAAGGCGTAAGGAAGCTTCTCGGAAGGCCGAATGCTGGCGTCGGTGGCGCAGGAGAGGGGCAGGAAGCTTCCTCTGAGAGGGCGCCAGTGTGGGTGGACCCTCGGAGCCCTATTGTTTGTTTTGTTGTTGTTGATGTGGTTGTTGATGTGGTTGAACATTATTTCTTCTTAAGAATAATTATTGTTGGGGCCCCTGGTGCATGGCCCCCCCGCCGCGCCTAGGCCGCAGCCTCATTTTCATCATTTTCGCGAGGAAGTCTCAGGCAAAACGATGTGATCCAGATCCGGTTGTTTTGTTGACGCCCGCTTTCCCTTGCAAAAAATAAGGCTAAAGTGGACATTTCTTGTTCTAACATAACCAAACTTCAAGAATCCCTTGCAAAAAATAAGGTAAAGTGGACATTCGCGCGCGCAAGACGAAATCCTTCCAAAACCTTAGTTTTCGTAGCGATTTTAACATAAAAACATCAAAAAACCAATGGTTTTTCAAAAAAAATGTCAAAATTTCATCCCGCGCGCTCTTGCGGATTCGTAGGAAACCCAACACTTTTTAAACATTTCTGTCAAACGGGCTTTTGCGAGCAACTTTTTCGAACTTCTGCAACAACGGTTGCGCACCTGCCAGGGCCATCATCCCTGTCAAATAATACCATGCGGGACACATTCGTTTTTTCTTCGCGCGCGCACGCCGTCGTCGTCGGCCGCGGGGCCCTGAATAGTAGCCACGGTCGTCCGCATGCCACGAAGTGAAGTGTCCGAACGTCATAGGGCGGGAAGCTGGGTGTGGGTGGTGGCGAAGAGTCGTTTGGAAATTTGGTAGAGCTTGAACCGGCCCCCCCACAAAGTGGGGGTATTGCCCGCCTCCTATGAAAACCCTGGCACTGGTGAGAACGGTGTGTCCCCGCGTGCTAGTAATTGATGTTGTTGTTGGTGGTGGTGGTGGTGGTGTTTTTTTGTTTCTTTTTTCCTGCAGGGAGCTCGAGAGAACCAGCAGGGTCTCAGGGCCTCGGACGGAGAACGCCAACACGACCACCGCGGCACAATGGCTCACGCCACATGGCCGAACAGCGGTGAAGAAACGAGGCCAAGCGCAGCGGCACCGCACCTGCAAAGGAATTGGACGGGCAATGAGCTATGAGCCCTGAGGGTACTACGGGCTGCATGAACCTTTCTGCCAACCATGTACATATAGGAGCCTCTGGGCCCTACGAGCCTTTCGAGCTCTATGCGCTCCGTGGGCCCCACGGGCCCAGTGGGCCCTACGTGCCTTTTGAACTCTGTGGGCGCGATGAATCCTACGGTGCAATACACTGGCAACGATCCTTAGCTGAGGAGGGCTGCAAGCATGCCCAGCTTGGCCCCCCCGCGCCGCGCGGAGCGAGGCCATCCTCGCTGCCGCCGCGGGTGACCCTGGGTGCGGGCATGAGCGGGTATGGCTGGCGTTGGTGGTGTAGGAGATGAAGAAAATCGCCCCCCCTGGGAGGGCGCCAGCAACCCGGATCTTCGACGGCATGATTTTCTGAATCTGGGCGTTTTCCCCTCGATCTGGGCCTCCGGGGCCCATTATCGGGCACCGGGACTGCCAAACATGAACCTGGGAAGAGCAGCTATCACCCAGGAAAAAGCCGGGACCTCTGGGGCCGTGCACTGAAAAAAAAACACGTCGTCGGGTGTCTGGTAGCACAGCTGCACCGATCCTTAACAGAAGGGTAACGAAAACTGGCGGCACGCAGAAGGGGGTGGGGGGAGGGGGGAGGGCTTCTTAGAAGCAGGCTGCTTCTTAGCAGGCGCCGGCCTTACATCTATAGATAAGGCCCGCGCCTTCTAAGAAGCAGGGGTGCTTCTAAGAAGCCCTCCCCCTCCCCCACCCCCCTCTGCGCGTGGCTGAGAAAACGGGGGACTGGCTCAGGGGGGAAACATCAAAACGGAATCGGCGATACACTGCTGACAGAGCGGCGATCGGCCCCCGACAGCCAATCCGCACGTTCCTGGGCGGGGTGGGCGGGCTATCGGGGCCCTGTCGGCGAAGCAACTCCGATTGGAGTCGATGCGTGCCCCACTGAGCCTATCCCCCTAACGTTCCTGTTGAAGTAACACACCTGCAACGATCCCTAATGGGGGTATGGCGGCCTCAATCCCCGACTTTCTGGGGCCTTTTCGGCTGGACAATGGTTGGGCCCAAATCGGGCATGTACAATGGGGGGGCGTCCATCCTCGATAGCGGTGCGTCCGAGGAGGCCCATCAAGGGTGTATCCCCGAGTTGCCCTTCTTCTAGGAGCGATAATTCCCCAAACACCCAAACAGTCCTTGCACTCAGGGGTTCTTACTTTCTTCGATGTGTAACTAATGCCGCCAGCCCTTGAGGGAGTGGGTGGTGTAGGGCCGCTCCTCTTCCAACCCCTTTCTTCCCCTTCGGAGAAGGGGAAGGGTTGACCACTGTGCCTTTTTAATATGCACACCCACCTTCCCCCGGCCGGCGGCCAACCCGCAACCATGCCGACTCCATGCGGGCCCGCCCCCCACCATCCCTGACAGAAAACAATACAAATCGCATTCTGCCTCCACATTTGGAGCATGCGCGGCCAACCCGATGCGGCCCCCAGACCATCCTGGTCACAAAAACGGGCAAAGTCTTGAGTCATGTTCGTGAGGCCCGCGAGCACCTTTTTTTGACAGGGACGGCGGGAGAAACAATACAACATGCACCTCGCGGCTAAATCTGGATCATGCACGGCCATCCCGCGATCACTGTCAAGTGGTTTTTGACAGGGACGGCGGGGGTTGTGGCGCGTGGCCTGTTGTGCGCAGGCCCACCAGACACAATGATGGGCACTGGTTTCGACAAGGATGGTGGGGGCCGATATGTTTCCCGATGCGTGCTGTCACGTGCGCAGGCGCACCTGACGCACACGTGCCACGAACGTGGCGCACCTGGCGCGGCTGGAGTGTGCGGCTGAGTAGCTTGACCCATCCCCCGACCCCCTCCCCTGGACCTGGACGGGGGGTTTCGCTGGTGGTTGGAGCGTTCAAGATGGCCCAAGACGGCTCCAAGAGCGCCTCGGAGAGCCCAAGATGAGCTCCAAGATGGCTCAAGATAGCCGAAGGTGCCTCAATATGGCTCCCAAGATGCTCCAATAAGCCCCAAGACCGCTCCAAGACGGCTCCAAGAGGCTTCCGAGACCGTGAAGGAGTTCTCCAAGAAGCCAACATCCTTCAACAACCTAAGGCCAATCAATGACTGTTGCATCGTCGCCAGTTCGCTTTCGATAGCCTTCCCAGGCCTCAAGACTGCCCCAAGATGGCCCACGAGGGCCCCAAGGGAGGCCCAAGAGAGCTCCAAGACGGCCCCAAGAGCGCCCAAGAGCGCCCCAAGAGCGCCTCAATAGCGCCCCAAGAGACAATGTTTGGGGCCGAGGGGCAACCCTAATTTTAGGTCGGGCCTGTCCCCCTACAGGGGGATTTTGGATGAACAATTAAGAATACCCCAAACATACTCCAACAATATAAACAAATAGTCCAAAGATGGTCCCCTGAGTATTTGTGTTGACTATTTTTGAAGATTCCCCCTGTAGAGGGACAGGCCCGACTTAACCCGAACTGGGGAACCCATCTTGTTTGATCGATGTCCTCCAAGATGGCTCCAAGAGCGCCCGCAAGGCTCCCAAGAGCGCCCCAGGAGGCGCCCAGACGGCCCCAGGAGGCGCCCAAGAGGCGCACAAGAGGCCCCCAAGAGGCTCCCAAGAGGCCCCCCAAGAGGCTGCAAGAGGATCCCCGAGGCACCCAAGATTCCCCCCAAACGCTCCAAGAGGCATCAAAAAAAGACATCCGAGGATGCTCTTCCGATCGTATTTTTCTAACCTCCTCCTCCTCCTCCATTTCCTCCTGCCTCCTCCTCCTCCCTCCTCTCTCTCTCTCTCTCTCTATCGCTTCCTTCCCCGCCTCCTCCTCTGCCTCCTCCCCCTCCTTTGCACTTCCAAGAGAAACCAGATGAGATTCCGAGAGTCATTCAAAAGCCTTTCGGCTCTTCTGTTTGCCCTCTTTCCTCCTCCTCCTCTTTCTTCTCCTCCTCCTCCTCCTTCGTCGTCGTCATCGGCGTCGTCTTCGTCGTCGTCGTCGTCGTCGGGTGCGTCGTCGTCGTCGGGTGCGTAGTCATTGTCGTGGGCATCGCCGTCGTCGTCGTCGTCGTCGTCGTCGTCGTCGTCGTCGTCGTTGTCGTCGTCGTCGTCGTCGTCCTCGTCGCTCTCTTCCTCTCTCATCCCACCGCCTTCTCCTCTTCCTCCTCCTCCTCCTCCTCTGCCCCGTCCTCCTCCCACTCCTCCCACTCGGAGGAAATAAGCGGAAGCAAGTAGGAATTAGGAGGAACACGGGGAGGTAAGCGAGGGCAGGAGGTACGCGCGAAAACCACGGCAATTTGCATTTTTCGCAAAAGTTACTGTTTTGGGATGGGCTGGTGGGGATACTTTTTTGATCGCAAGCGCACCGGAAACGCCAGATGCCGTCCGAGATTCGTAGCTAGCGGGCTACGATCTGAATTGCGCAACCAGGAGGGGGGAAGAGGGACCCCGTCCAAGCGACCACATAACGTGTTCTTGCCAATCTGTGAATATGTTGCAAACTTCTAGGGCGAATATGCACGGCGCTACAGTGAGAACTGCGTGTTCAAAAGGACTGACCCTCCGTTTGTGAAGCTGTTGCAACTTGCAAAATCGTAAATGGCGGGGAAAGAAGTCTCAGGCGAAACGCCCTGCCCCCCCTACGTACCCGTCTGGGGGTGTGCGGAGCTTTGTGCTCTCGCCCTCCCTGCCGCTGGATCCTGCTTCTGCCCGCGGCAGCCAAGCCAGGAGGAAGAGGAAGGAGGAGAAGGAGGCAGAGTGAGGAGGAAGAGTGAGGAGAAGGGAAAGGAGGAGGAGGAAGAGGAGGAAGAAGAGGAGGAAGAAGAGGAGGAGGAGGGGGAAGAGTGAGGAGGAGGAGGAGGAGGAGGATGAATCCGCTGCCCCCCTTGCGGGGCCACCAGGCTGTAGGCCGGGAGTGTGCTGCTCCCTGTGCCAGTTGCAGCTTCCAGTTTCCACTGTTACAATTCTGCTTCTTGCTGCTTACTGTTCCTTGTTGATGAACGCGCGAGGGGGGGGGGGAGCCCAAACCAGAAGAACTACCACGCCCTGGGAGGGTTCTCAGAATTTCTGGGGGGGTAAAAATCTACACCCCTCACGAAGATCCGCAGGGCCAGGGTCCAAACAACACACGGGATTTGCTAAATTTCTGAAATTCGGTTGCACCCCTCACACAGATCCGTAGGGTCAGGGTCCAAAAACACATGGGATTTGCAACATTTCTGAAATTCGGTGGCACCCCTCACGCAGATCCGTAGGGTCAGGGTCCAAAAATACATGGGATTCGCCACATTTCTGAAATTCGGTGGCATCCCTCACGCAGATCCGTAGGGTCAGGGTCCGAAAACACATGGGATTTATTACATTTCTGAAATTCGGTGGCACCCCTCACGCAGATCCGCCAAAAAACATACGGGATTTGCCACATTTCTGAAATTCGGTGGCACCCCTCACGCAGATCCGTAGGGTCAGGGTCCAAAAACACAAGGGATTTGCCACATTTCTGAAATTCGGTGGCACCACTCACGCAGATCTGTAAGGTCACGACGTCTTACCAACCGCCAGGTGTGGTAACCCCTCTGGTGATCAGTTGGTCTTGCTCATTACGAGTCGGCCTCGCATGAGGTTCCGATACTGCTTCACGACAGCGCCCAGGCCTCATGACATAGCTCTTGCATAGCGCATTCTCCGAGAGAGGGGGCCGCCGGCAGGGGGCGAAGCCCTTACGGATAATGAGGAGGAGGAGGATAAAGGGAAAAGAACTATGCACATGCACCGATTCTGGCCAGGCCCATCCTGAGCCCAGGATCGGTGCATACGCCCTCCTACCTTGGCCAGGAAGGCATATGCACCGATCCTGGGTCAAAAATGGGCCTTGCCAGGATCGGTGCATGTGCATAGTTCTCTTCGCCCGAGAGGAGTGAGGAGGAAGAGTGAGGAGGAGGAGGA